TCCTTTCCGACAGGGCTTCCCAGTGTTCGAGCAGCTTGTCGTGCTGGAACTCGAACTTCGCCCAGTTGGCCTCGAGGGCTTGGAGTCGCGCTTCCGCCAGCCCGATCGTTATGTTGGCGGTTCCCGACTTCCGCAAGTTCTCGTATGCGCGGGAAATGCGTCCGTATAAGTCCGACTGCGAACGGACCGTTGGTTCCTTGTCCTTATTCATGGTTGTCTTTCAGGCGAGTGACGTCCGGAAGAGCACAGACGGAATCACTGCAGGCACTGCACTCACCCCACGCACAGGCACCGGATAGCAAGGGATCCGGCTCGAAGGACCAGCAAATGTTAGCGAGAGAGGTGGACGCGAGAGTGAGGAGCGCCGCGATATTTGATCTCGATGAATAAGGATGACGTGGAACCGTCGGAAAGACGAGCGTCTTGACAATATACAATTTAATGAAATTATATCTAATATTTCCGCAAGCAACGGAGGGATAATCTCGTACGAGGAGACCGCACTGTCGAACGATAAGACCGCACAGAGAATCGGTGGATCGCGGGCCGCGAAAGCGCACTGGATTCACTGTCGCGACGGAACTTAGCCGAGCAGCGCGAGAAGAACTACGTGTACGCGTCGATTACTTTTTGTCAAGAGCCGCGCCTTGTGCGCACCTCTTTTATTATCTTGAATCCTTCTAGAAAGATCCAGGACGTATGACTCACTTTCTTTTGTCTTAAGGGAGCGACAATTATGATAGGAGAAATTCGCGGTAGTTTTTTGATTGACGGGGGCTGGCAGCCCCTGATTGGGCGCCACTGATGTCAGTTTAAAGCGCAGTGATAGGCTTGGAGTGTCGAAAGGCTCGTAGCTCCCGATAAGCTAGAGCAAGAACGACTGCATCGAAAGCGGTCATCTCTTTCATCCCGAATTCTCAGAAATTATCGATCGGCCGAGCCGTATCTCCTATCGCTTTAAATTAAATCTCGTTTAAGGCGCCTCGTCTTCCATCGCCTTTAATTCGATTTCGAACGTAAATAAATATTGAATTATATGTAAATTTTTTATTGTATATTATATCATATTCCCTCGATATATAAATAAAGATGCTTTTTATTTTAAAGCAACAGGGTGAAAATATTTTTCTTCCCTTCCTTTCTTCCCGGCGTCTCTGTGATGTCATAGCCTCTGTCCTGAGCCTCAGCGTCAAACAGTCTCAGGTACCCGTATATATTTCAAGACCCTTTCTATCGTCTCCAGCGATGCTGTTACCGTATGTCTACCTGTGCAGCGGGACTCGCCCGCTCGGACAAGCGTACCCGTACATGCACGCACGTGTTTGTTACCCCTTCATAGCACCTAGCTTATTCTAGCGGTACCTTATCCAATTTTTCTCTTTTCAACAGGAAGGGTGGAAGAGAATGGGCGACATATCATGTACCGTACATCTTCCGGTTTTCCTCTAAGGGGGGCGATGGGACAATGTTGTATACCGCACGATATCTTCCGGTTTTCCGTAAGAGGGAGGGGAGGCTGGGTGCCTTATGCTTAGACGCATCTCCAGTCTCGACGGTCGCCATTTTGTCGGTTGTCGTCACGTCTGCTTTCCGTCAGACATCTTGCCCGCTTTCTCCCACGCACTATTTTTTGGTTTGTTTTTCCAACCCGCTTTAAATCGACGGAACCGACGGAACCAATCGGAGGACTGGGCACTATGGGGAAAACCAATCGGACCGTCAGGACCCCTATCTTGACGGTGGGCTACTTTCCACAAATACTACGTTTAACTTCTATTCTAATAAGTTTTCAGCTAGCCCAGCATACTAGGACCCTATTTGGAGAGGTAGAGGACCCAGGTTCAAGCCCAAGCATGTTCACGTGACCGGAAAAAAGGAAAAATTTAAAAGGAAAAAAAGACATACGAATACTTGGCGTGCCCGTGTCGCATTATAAGTCATATATTTTTATTAATATATTGGAAATATAATAGTAAAATTCAATCGATATCTTGTCACACAAGCAATTTTTAAAATAATGTAATAGCTTAAGTAATAAATAATTATAATTAATATAATCTTTTCATATATTGATATATGAATATATTAAATTAGATTATATGATGTGTTATAATTTACCTCTATTGAATTTGTAATATGTTCGTATTCAGTTTCAATATTTATGTTCTCAACATCATATTGAAGGCATGTAAATAAAAAATTGAAGAAAATGTCGAAATTCCACGTGCCATACATATTATTATTAGATATTAATTCTTGATTAAAATTTGCCATTATTTCTTGTGTTATCTAAAAAAAAATAAAACAGACATGTAAAGCAAATTTCGATTATAGACAAAAAAATAAAAAGAAGTTCATTACTTTCACTCATTGATTTAAAATGTATTGAGACTTATTGAAATAACATATTATTTACTTGGACTTATAATTAATTGTTATTTTTATTAACTACTTAAAATTAATAGAGAGAATCAGATATAAAAAATTACTAACCCAAATATTATTGCTTAATGACCTCGGATGAAATAAAAGTAAATTTCCAGTCCCGATATTTCTTCTCCCTCTGATAACGTTTGAGGGATACAGTAAATTTGAGCTCTTGCTCATATAAAAGTACTCTACGTTATCTCCATACTTTATATAACCGTTTGTACTGAAAATAAGAAAAAAACATTTATATATTCTGTATATATTTATATACATATACATATATGCGTTTAAACATATAGAATGTATGTTCATTGTTATTAAAACTCATAATTTCTCTAGCAATAGATTGATTAAAAATGTTGTGCATAAATCTTAATTGCGCAAGAAGCTACATTTTTAAAAAGTTCTCAATGAGATTTGATAGCAAGTTCTTTTCAATATAAAATAAAAAATAATTGCCTAATATGTTTTAAAAAATTATACAAACTTTTTTAAAAAAATGCATCTGTAATTTAATATAAAGTCATTTTGTCATTTTGTATATGTTAACACAAAATTATAAAGAATTAATAATTTCCATCAGTGAAATATAATTTATAAAACGTAACTTTTTTAAATCTAAATATGTGAATATGTTTGTGTAAAATAAATAAAAAAATACTTTTGTAAAAAAAATTATATTGTTCCATTTAAAAATCTCAAGATAACTTTGTTTTTTTACCGAAAAAAAGAGATATTGATTATTTTTCTGTATGTGTGTGTATAACGCGTGCACTAACATTTTGTTAAATGTTCGAGGAATACATATTTTAATGCTACGATCTTTTGTTTCTCATGAATTTAAAACAAATAAGTAACCAGAGCGTAAGAAATCGTAGAAACGTTTTTATAAAAAAAGTATATATATACAGGGTGTCTGATCAAAATCTATAATACTTTACTTATTTATACTATATTAATACTTACTATTTTGGTTTCCATATGATCATAATAATATTTTTGCAATTTGTTAGAACGCTAGGTATGCCAAGTCTTCTAGCTACGATGTGATACGTAATAGGCAATAGATGTTTTCGAAAACATTCTGCAATCTATGTTAAATTATATTATATTAGAAAAATTGTATATTAAACATTTATAAAATATAAAAATTATAGTTATATTTGCGCAGCGCAAAACAAATTATTATAATTAAAAATAACTTACATATTTTATATATTTTGCTTCGAGATCTGATGTCATTAATAATTGATGCAATTTATGAATCTCTAACTCGGAAAATATATATTCTTCGAGTACACACATAATTTGCATTGATTCTGTTTCATTCCAGAAATTGTCATTAACATTGTTATCTCTTCAAAAAGAAAATTGCTCTAAAGCCGTAGAGCAAATTGAATGAGCTAAATATTTATTTTTCAGACGAAATAGTACTGTCTGCACTATTTCATCTAACCACGTTTTCACAGCCGAATAAGACACATGTGGCTGAAAACATTGCGCCACGATTGTAAGTTGTTTTTCCAAAAGCTCCTTTGTATTCGGCATATTTATAAATTTCATTTGCTTATATACAAATCGATACCGTTTTAGACAGTAAAAAATTAGTTTCAAGTAATATTCACTTGTCAAATTGGAAAACAGTTTGCTAAAAAAAAATGTACAATTTAAGTATACAATAATTACATTAATTTATAATATCAATAACAATTTAGTTTATTGAATTTTTTACCATGATTTTTGTGCAGAAATTCCATTTATCTCATCCCACACAAAATAATACGTCGTGGAATCTTCAGTAATTGAACCCAGAAGACGTTCCAATTGTTCTTTGTCAGTATTACATAACTTATTTTGCGATATCATAATCGCATAATATTGCAACTTTTGGATATAATATAATCCTGCTTCTAGTCTTTCTTTGAAATTGATATGGTGAAATATTTTCTTCTGATTTTCTCTATTATATTTTTTTTCCGCGGTAGGACAGCTAAAATTAAAAAAGACATTTCTCAAAAATTTCATTAAACAACGCCACAATACCAGCAATAAATTTTAGAAAATATACTTCTTAAAGTACATATAAATTTCATAATCAAGAGACACGCTAGTGTCTCGCGCCAAGTCACGCGAAGCAAAGATCATGCGCAGCAATTACATATACATTAATATTCAGAATAAATTAAAAAATTCATAAATAACAATATGGATTTTTTTATTTAAAAAAGATATGATTTACTGTTTTAATCAAATTATAATTATCACAATAGTAATGGATAGCAATTTGTACGATACATATATATGCACAATGTGTTACGGAGATGCATCTGCTGCGATAATCTCGCATCATTTAAGTTTGTTACTTTAAATTATATTTAAATAAGAGAAATCGAGTGAAAACTAAATGTGTAGCGTTAATAATATATATTGCGTTCTATACATGCCACTAAAATGAGAAAAATTGAAAAAAAAGTTTTAAATAAAAGAAATATTCACGCACACAATCTTTACAATCTCTTCAAGTAGTTAAAATTGATTGCATATGATGTTTTATAAAATTGTAAAATCCATAAAGTTTGAAAGTTACAAGAAAAAAATTTGGTTACATCATAAGTTCTAAAGGTTATAATTATTTATAAAAGGTAAAAAAAATATTTTATAAGTCAATTTTAAAACGGATAAATATAAGAAAAATTTGCAAATATTATTATATAAGTAAACATTTATACATAATCGTATTATTACAAATTTTTAAATTAAAATATAAAAAATCATAAGAGCATTTTAATGTTGTGTTTTTTACGTTTTACACTATAAAATAAAAACTTCTTTATAATCACAAAATCACACAAATTACAAAATATCTCTACACATTTAGTTTTCACTCAATTTCTCTCATTTAAATATGATTTAAAGTAACAAACTTAAATGATGTGAGATTATCGCAGCAGATGCATCTCGATAATACATTGTGCATATATGTGTATCGTACAAATTGCTATACAAAAATAAAAAAGCTAACTAATACAACAGTAAAATAATTTTTTGCAATCTGTATTTTTAATAATTTAAAATAATTTATTTAAAAGAACGACACACACATAATTTTAAGCATGTTATAACCAAAGAAAATAATAAGAAATAGGATAATCTTTATACTCATAATTTAATAATAAAACCGGTAAATGTTTAGTTTAACTTACACCTCACGGATCGTTTTCATTTTCACATATATTATAGAGGGCACATTCCTAAGTAACACGCACTTTGAATTTTGCGGCGCTCTCTTCTGGTTTCAGAGATATGCGATTTTAAAGCATCATAATTTTCGCATTTATTTCTATGATTTTTTCACTATATGTAAAATGAAAACGATCCGTGAGATGTAAGTTAATGTGAACATTTACCAACCATCTTTATCAAATGGCGCGAAACGGATTGGAATTGACGTAGGATATCGAGTCTTTAAATGCATAAAGATTTCGGCTTTACTGAATCTTGACTTTTTTCTAAAATTGTATTAAATTGTAACATCAGGAGCAGTTTCAATATGCAGTAAAAAGCATCAAGCACAACTTAAGAAGAAGAACAACACAATAATTTTAACTTTACTTGTTAACTATTAGTATTTGCGGAGGTACTTCATTGAGTTACAAAAAGTAACCCAGTAAAATTAATATAAAAATTTTATATAAAAATAAAATACCTCTGATAATATTTCCTCTCACATAATTTGTTGTCATGTATCACTTGTTGCAATCTTGTGCACGTGGAGCCAAATCTTATTAAATCCACGGCGCTGATGCTCTCATTTTGCAAAATGTGAACAATTACTTCGTGAGGCAACTGCATTATTGTAGCCATCGCAAAATATTAAACACTGCGCAAAAGAGTTTGCAATAAACGTTATTTAACAAATAAGCGCGAGAGTTTTCTATATCTTTTTCTTGATCTTACCGCAATGAGTCTACTACGAGCACTGTCCAAAAAGTTTATCTACGGTTGTCTAAGACCATAGGTGGAGTCTTTTTCCGAGTTATATAATGATTTCACTTTGACCAATGGCCAATGCCCAATGACCAATGACCAATCAGGACACACAAAAAGAACAAAGATTTTTCCTTCCATTTCCTTGTCAATATGAGCAACGGTTGAAGGCACGTTCGACATTTTTCTAGAAAATATTTTCTAAACTATAGCTTTATAATGTTTTAAAGATTTATGACTTATGACTTAAATGGTTTTCTTTCAATTTCATTTGAATTGAAGATCATTTAAGCTTTGTCAGATATTTATTTACTTGCTAATCTGAATAAAATGTAATTCAAGAAAACTCTTGTTACTTGAGGTCGCTACGACAATGATTTAGACAATAATAAGTTTAAACGATAATTTTAAATTTTACATTTTAGATTAAATTTTAAAAATTAAATAAACTTATCACGTTTGCCGTTTTCCCATCGTTCTTGATTTTATGACTTTGTTTTATGACTCGTTTTTATGACCGTTATTTTTGTGACCATACCAACCGTTAACATGGTCAACATATCGTAAATCATCGATGATATATAAATATACGTGTAGCAATGGCGTTTAAACGTTGTCACATTAATTTGTATAGATTCTTGTCAGAATATACGCGAGTGAGCTTTACTCTCTGATTATTAATTTTAATTTGAAATTTGATTGCAACAACAAATATTGTATCAAGTTTTAAAATCCCAATTTAATCTTTATATATTTATATCCATCCTGAAGATAGATCAAAAAATGGTCCGAAACATACATTTTTAATGCATATTTGTTAATAAAATTTAACAATAATAAGTTTGCGCACCAATATCTGCGCCTTGGCTCTTATCTGCCAGTTTTCTCACGTAATAATTTTGGATTTGCAGTCTCTGTTTGTCTTCATTTTTCTCTCTCCGGACTCTTTTTATCTGTCTCTTCAATTTCTCTTTCATCTTAAATAAGTAACTTTTTATAAAATCTGCATTTCCATTTTAAAATTTCATATTTGCACGATTTCTTGAAATAATACAATACAATTTTAATTTTTTTAAATATATATGATCACGTAACATGAACATATAAATTAATTAATAAAAGGAATTTATATATCTAATCTACGAAAATGCGTAAATTTTGCTATCGTTACACGAATAAAATTTTTGTAACATTAATAGAGAGATTAATTATTAAAATTGCCTAAAAATATTTTATGTATTGCGACGACTTCTCCTACCGTCTCGCGGCTGAGCGATAAACGCGGCCGCCGACTCGTTCTCTCCGTCGCGCGGGTGTAAATTGCGCCGACGAACAGGAGCTAATTCGTCGAACGGGAGATGCGGAATGGTCGTTGACAAAAACGGGAAACGGAGAAAAAGATCCACGCGCCAGGTGGGAACGGGATGTTAGGAGTTCCGCGCGTACCGTGACGAGATCCGAGAGATAATCGCGAGAATCGAACTTGGGCGCCAGATACGATCTTTCACGTATCAATTCGCGAAACACGAAATAGGCGCGAAATAAACGCGAAAGGAATTGCCGGAATTCGCCACGGGCTGACTAGCTCGCCTAACGGTAGAGGGGCAGGGCGAGTGTTGATCGAACGCGATAATTTATGCAGGAGGCGACAATTACGGAAACGACAAGCACAACTGAAAGGAAACTTGTAAATTAAACAGAGAAATTAACAGATTTATTATAATAGCGGGAGCCGCAGCTCCTCGAGAATAGTAATGATAAACCGCGCGGATATACGGCTGCGGTAAAAGAAACGCGGCTGCGAGACTGGGTGTTAGACGCGGGGCGCGAAACCCCGTACTGCGTACGCCGAGACCGACCCGTTAGATCGGCCGGAATCTCCGCTCGGCTTGGATTACGCCTCGCACTGCGAAGAAATTGATTATTACGTTCGTCTATAGTTCGGGCGTAAGTCCGAATCAATTCTCCGTATCACCTCGCCAACGGCGACCTTATCGCCCGCTATTACCGCCAAATTATTAATACGCAACTTAAGATTAACAGGCAATTAATACAACGCGGACATGCTTCGATTTCGGACGGACAGATTACGCCGAATTGAATATTCGACACACACACGCACGCAATTCCTGCAAGAATCGCGAGGAAACTCTCACAAAACGCGCTCACAATTTCGAGACGCGGTGCTATACAACCGACATAATACGTCGAATTTACGCGATCCACACTCTCACGTAACCCGTACAATAATCGCGAAGGAAAGTTGCACCGGACATGCACGCAAAGTTTAGACGCGAAGATTCGCAAACGAAAGACAAAAGTAATATAACGAATTGACGCGAATCACACTCACACTTAAACGACCGACATACAACACGAACGAGACTTAAGCGCTAAACATGCGAGAACCAACGCAAATATAATATACGGAATCCGAATCTCCAGAGAGACGACACACGGTTTATTAAAAACGCGAGGTAATGTCTCGATCCGCGGAAACCGATACTTTCGAGGCTCCGGGGCTCGAATCGCTTGACGACGTGGCCGTGACGCGAAAATTTACACCAAAGAATCGGGCTTAGTCCGTACACCAAAGTACGAATTCACGGCGACGACGACAGAACGAAACGATTCCGGACGCGATCGCGAGTGGCGAATATGGCGGAGGATAACCTCACCGGTACTTTTCCTCTCGTGGTGGTTGCACGGGGTCGGCGACGTCGACGTCCTCTCGCTCGGGTCCGTCCTTCGATCGCTGGAGTCCTCCTCGACCGCTCACGCCGCAACGCTCTCACTAAAATGGCTCTCGTCTTTATTTTTTTGCTTCGCCTCGGAACAAACGCCGCTATCTATCACGCGAGCTCACGCCAGTCTGATGTCTGATCCCGGATCGTCGAGATTCAGAATCGATACCTGTGGGCCAGCCGGGGCTGCGCACACGGGGTGCGTATTATCGCGACCAATCACGCGTTATCACGCGCTGTGGCCGGTATCGCTGCCACCCCTCTTTTCGTCTTTTCCGAGGCCGTGTCACGCCATCGGGTGCAGCATTGCAGCCCCTCCGTGGGGACCGGATCCGCACGGGCCTGTGTCCTTGCGCGAGGATCCTCTCGCTGTCCCGTGCGCTGCGCATCACGTGCGCGGGTCCTGATCCCGTCGTAACATAGCTAGACGTTAGATGCTTTAAACTCTCGGATTGCTGGCTCCTTGCCACTCGGCGGTCAGCCCGCGCTTTTCGATCGGAGAGGGACTCGGCGGACGCGCGCGAGACGGCAACGTCACAGTATATATAAAATATATTTTTTAGATACTTTAATTTAATCAATTCTTAAATTATTAATATTTCGTTTACAGAGTTATGTTAATTTTGATCGCATCAAATACGATATTTTTTTGTTTGCTTTATGCAAAAAATCCGCGAAATATTTTGGTTATTTCTTTCTTCTTGCAAAAGTAAGGACAATCTGCATATTTTGATTCACAAACATTTTTGTTTATTTTAGCGGGAGATATCGCGTTAAGCACAAAATATATATCAATAGTAAAGTTGTCTAAATATCAATGCAACAGTCAGTTATCAATGAGGGAGCATCGATGCAACATCGGGAGTAAATTACTCTAATAAAGATGAGCGAGAGAGAGAGAGAGAGAGAGAGAGAGAGAGAAAAAGAATAGCTGTAAGTGTATTATATTGAAATATTTTAATTAAGATTTTTTTATGTTAGAATATAAGAATCATGTAGTGCGATTTTGATAAATAATATCTAAATATCTAATTTTTAATTCTTCTCAAGAAAATAAGCCCAAAAGGATTTCAAACTCTTTATAATTGCGTTCCGATTTTAATAAAATATTTTTAAATATCGAATCTCTTTCTCTCTTTCTCTATCTCTCTACAGATAAGCGTATATATTCTCAACAACAATGTATAAAAAAAGAAAATTGTTGATATCAAGTTTTACCCTCTCGCATTCGTTTTCTCTCTCTTTCTCCCAATCCCCAAAAGAAAAACACTTTTGCGCGCAGATATATAATCCACAATCCACACTTTAATTGTAACTGATTTCTCACGACCAATCGAATTCTAACAGCGACCTTAATCCGATACATTAGAAAGATGGTCTGTAATTACTCTTGGCTCTCTCTTAAGCTAGCGCAAGATTATGCGCCTATTTGCGATTTGTTTATAATTCGTGAATAGTGTGGACGGAAGATTCGTCAAATTCAACCAATCAGATTTCTTTATACCGTTCACGAATCGCGAATTACGAATCACAAATTGCGAATACGCGCATAGTCTGGCGCTAGCTTTACACATGTAGACCGACACGTCATACATGCTCGCGTGATTCATCGCAATGAATAGCGTACATCGGACTTTATGATAGCGCTATGTTTGTGATGTTTTCAAAAATGGAGGTTGTAGGTGAGAAACGATTTAATTAAATTATTCGTCGACTCGCTCGTGTCATTGTCGCATTCGAACGTGGACGAAACACAAAAGGACTGTTTTTTGGAATGCGAAAGATATCGGGGAGCATCGTAATATTATATCTCAACACGAGATAAAGTCATTGCTCGAGAAATATAAGCAAATAAACTTATAGAATAACTAACAACATTCGAAAAATATATACAACGTAACAAATTTCTTTCAAGATCGTATAATTTATTTAAGCGTAAAATAGAAATAAAAAGGATAAGTAAGGTAAAAAAGAGAAAGTTGACAAAACTTACATAGCATAGGATCAGAATGAACCATAATTTAATCAAAGCGAATAGAATTGTTAGAATAATTAATAGAATTAACAATCACGATTATGATTTTGCACACACTTACAGACATTCTAGCGACCTCATTACTCCAAATTCTCCTCCCTATTTTTCCCCCTCCTACTCCCCTGAATATTCTTCCTTGTCTTCTCCAAACCTACCACCCTCCCCGCGATCATTCTCTTCACTTTCAACAGTGATCCTCGATAATTCTCTCCCTCCCTCTCCTCAGTCTCCCGAATTGGATTACATAGACAAGGCAATCCAAGAATTTATCGATGAGCTTCCTGACTTGGAAGCAGCATCGTCCTACCAAGATTAACACAATTTAAAGATCTCCATATCTCCTTCGTTTAATAACCCATTTCCTCACTGACCTACTTTTACACTATGTTTTTATTTTTTTCCGAAAGATAATAGAAGATATTGTATTTACCAGCCAGAATTCTAATCTTAACAATAGAGCCTTTCCCAACTCAGTCTGGCTGATGCCCCCCGAACCATTGTAACACCCGCGGAGCGATAAGCTCAACCACACACAAACACGCACACTCACACAATAAATGTTATCACTTTCTACAAATATATATATCATGTATTCGAACTTTTTATTTTTCTAATGAATAAAATTATATTTTATTAACTACTTAAACAATTCTTAACCCCTCTCTCGTTCCCAGTACGAAGATCGCACTAGGTCCCATCCCGCGTAAAAGGGATTAAATTCCTTGACCAAAAAGGGACCACCGAGTGAACGTCTGAATAAACAGCGTAATAGCAACCCGAACGGTCGTTTACCTGGTTTTCAGACCCGAGTCTCATTTTGCCGATTCCTGCGATAAGACTATTATACCTGAATTTAATAAATACGAAAAAAAGAAAGACCCGAGCGGTAAAATAATTAAAATAATCCTTTCGCTACTTTGAAATACGCGGTCGAAGCCGTCCCTCATTTTATATTCCATTAAATTATTTTGTCGAGGGATGTGAAGAAGCAAAATCTATGTTGCCTAGTGAGGCTGAATCACAGTTTACCAAAATAATAAGAACCAGGATAATAGGGGAGGCTCGCCGAACTATACAAGGTCAAGATTTTGATAGCGTTTCTCAATTAACTAAATATTTAAAACAAATTTATGGACCAGCAAAAAACGTTTATCAATTACAAGGGGAATTGGGTTGTATATATCAAAAAGGTGATGAAGATGTAATTACTTATGCAAATAGAGTAAAAATTCTTGGAAAACAAATTTTAGAAACATATAGAAGTTCGGGAAACGTGTCGTCTGACCAAAATATTAAAGCATCATTAGAAAAGGACATGTGCAAGTGTTTTATTAGAGGATTAAAACCAGAGATTGAACAACGAGTTGCAAGAAATTTATTAAATGTACAAGAAACTGCAGCCGATGCTTTAAGGATAGAGAGAGAGCTCCGAGAAATGACAGATTTACGACAGGGAATAGATAGCATTTCAGGTAGACAGAAAAGTAACAATCTAAAAGAAATTTGTCAAATCTGCTATAAGGAAGGGCACGTAGGCAGTAACTGCAAGAAATATTTACAAACATCTCAACAAGTTAACAACCAAATTGATTTAGGAACCGCGATATTAGTATGTCAAATTTGTAAAAAACGTGGGCATGTAGCAGAGAAATGCCGCTTTCGCGATCCACAGCAACGCCGACCAGTAAACGTAGTTCAAGGGAAATTAATAACTTGCCAATTATGCTTAAAATCCGGTCATGATGCAAAATCTTGCCGACAGAATAATACAACTAATAACAATAAAATCTCGGTAATTTGTCAATGGTGCGAAAGACCCGGCCATTTTGCAAATAATTGTTGGAAGAAACAGAACGAACAACGTTATGCGGGAAATAAAACTCGCGTAACTTGTCAAATTTGCAACAACTTCGGACACATTGCTAAAGATTGTCGATCAAAACTAAACCAGCAAACGGGATCTAGGAATTCTTTATTCTGCCGCTATTGCAAGGAGCAAGGTCATCTTCTCGAAAATTGTCAATTACGCCATGCCAGTAACTTTCGGAAACAAGAAAATAATCAGGGAAACTACAACTCAGGTAGCCAAGTAGACAAGGACAGAACTACCATAAGGCCCGTGACTGTAAATCTCGACAAACATAGTCGCGTGCCTACCGTTCAAATCAACATCGATAATTTAACTACTAGTATAACTTTTATGCTAGACACGGGATCTGGACCTAATATAATTAAAGAAAATCTCGTTCCAGAAGAAATAAATATTAAGTATACTAATATCCTCAAGCTGAACGGTATAAATATTTAAACAAACTTCATCGAAAATAGATTATGCACAAGGGCACTTGGATGTCTCCGGAATCAACATACCTTTCTTATCACCTGAAGCCATTATAGTAGCTCCGCGATCCGAATCATTATTTTATGTAAGAATAGAAAATCCAGAACTAAAAGTAGGATATATACCGAGACTAAAGGCGGCACATGGAATTTATTTGGGAGACACCATCGTGGAGAACGTTGCCAGAAAGGCATATTTAAACGTTACCAGATATATAAATATAAAACCGGAATTTGCCCATAGATGGCCCTAGCTGTCAATGTAGTTACCGTCAAACCGCGTCATTGGCGCCATTTTCTTGTTTTGACATCTGATAAAGATTTTCAACTCACAACAATACAAGTTTCATACAACAGCATAGTTTCTAATAGCGTTGAACATGTCGAATTATGTGCCTGGAGACTACGATTTGCGGACAGCATTGATTTTCTGTTACCATTTGAAGAAAACTGCTGCAGAATCGCATCGAATGCTTGTCGAAGCTTACGGTGAGCATGCTCTTGGTAAATCACAGTGCTTTGAGTGGTTTAAAAAATTCAAAAGTGGCGATTTTGACGTGAGAAACGAAGAACGTGGAAGACCACCGAAAATCTATTATGAGCTGCTAAAACCTGGCGAAACCGTTAATACTGAACGCTACCGACATCAAATGATCGATTTGAATCAAGCTTTGTGTGAAAAACGACCAGAATATCAAAAAAGGCAACACAAAGTGATTTTGCTTCATGATAATGGGAATAATTCTAAG